GCACGACAGTCGAGGTATGCTTAAACTGGGGATTCAGTGCGACCATAGCAAGCTCGTGCGATGTCGAAGAGAAATGGTACTTGGGTCCTGATGGCTGTCATTCGACGGTCATCCCGGACGGCAAATCCACTAAGGGGTTCCCTTTTTGGTGAAGTGATACTTTTGTTGCAACTTGAGTTCACGTTGGTGGAGAACACACTTGGTGTTTTGACCCGTAGTTTGGGCCATCAAGCAGGGGATGAGAATGATGAATCTCTGCAGTTGACTTCATAAGTACCCACAACCTGATGCATTGTGAGGATCTACAGACGGATGGCGGTGTTGAACAGAAGTGAGAACCGGAAATTAGACCGTTCGGCCAAAAACGAGGGCCCGTTATGGGGTGGTAATTTGTGGTGTCAATAGGCATGTTGAGGCATATTCCCGGCTGACACAAAGGGAACCAAATCTTCGAAGCGAGGGAGAAAACGAATGCATGTAACAGCTCAGGATGCTGATATGTACCCGGCAATGAATCTGAATCCGCGTTAGCAATCGTTACCCGACGTCTACTGCTGTTTATTGGCGAAGATGACTCACATTGTGGAAATTTTCAAACGCTATCCGAAACGATCACCTCTTGTTTCCTGAGAACGAGTGACCCCAAAGATCTTGCTCAAGATGACAAGTGGTCATCCTCGAATGGGTTTGCGTGATTCGGACCCTGTGTCTTTTATTTGTTAGAATTGGCCATTTGCTGTAACTATCCGGGATAAGTCTTACCTTCTTCAGCCTGCTCCATGTCTGATGCAGTAGCACTGGCACTCGAGCTGTGGATGCCGAGCCTTTGCCAATATTCAGGCCTATATAAACGTTACACAAGATTATCCTAGAGCAGAAGATTTGACCTACTGTCTCGTCATGCATCACCATCACGCTTCGGTCTCCAACTTCTTCTGGATCAGGTCAAGTCAAGCCTTTCCGAAACCTGCGAACCCTCCTCGTACGCAGCATGATGAACAAGTCTACTGGAGAGTCGAACATGAAAGATCTGATGTTTGATCCAAAATCGTATCGCCATCCTGCTTTATTAGCATTGTTACCAGATGTTTTGAACAGGCCTGGAGAATACATACTTCAACAGAAGCCTCAGTTCCTGGAGAGGAAGTACAAATGAACGACGCTGAACTTGGTTCGGTGCTCAGTGGAAGGCGACCAGACCAGTTTCGCTTTCGTAACCAACAAAACCGGGAGCATAATGTCGGTAGTATATTCTCTTGGTTTTCTTCCACCATGCGGACATTGGGAATTGGAAGACTCTCGAAATTGTACGATTAGAGGTACCGCCGATGTTGGTATACACGAGGACCTGTCCACTGCTCGTTGTTCACGACGCATAAAGGGTCGATTCCATAATTGGAATCCAAGAATATATCGTGTCCCACAGCTCTAAACGAGGGTGACTAACGCCGGGACCAAGCGAACATCGGTTTATCCACCGGCATGAGGCCAAGAGCATATCCCCAGGTACGAGATGCAGGACACTGTGTCCGAAGGAAAGAAATCGAGCTCAGATCAAAAGTCCGAAATGTTGCTTTTAAGGATGATCGTCGTTAATAGTAAGTACTCATGTCAAACAACATTGTAAGAAACACGCACTGGATGCCCCCAGGAGTGCTCAGTGCCTCTTTCAATTTCCCCGGGAACGCCGTTTCGACCTCTATAAGGACATTGCCTTACGGCAAACATACAGTGAGGAATGAAAGGCAAAGTTTCCACACGAGCATGCATCCCAGTGATGAGGAAGTTGTGACTATCATTCATGTACGGAGCATCTATTTGTTTCCAGTTAGTGAAAGTTCAAGAGACCGTGATAAACAGAAGTACATACAATCCAGAAGACCTTCTCCGGCCCATGAAGAAAGAAAGCTTGCCAAGTAGGCTTCGAGCTCTGCAACTCTAGGATTAACTTGAGACTCTTTGCTGAAATTTTACACGGCTCTATCCTCGGGGATTCCGTGACCGTCCGCAGACTGTGGTGATATGGTCGAATGATGTGGCTATGCATGTGGTCAGCTGAATCAAACAGAGCAAGATCAGGCTTAGTCTGTTTGAGAAGACCAGCGAAGTGCTTAGGCAGGGAGACGGCCAGAGTACATAATACCTTGTGATAGCAGCATTGCCGTTCTTCCGGTACCCCTTGATCCCAAAACTCAGTGGGCGAAGTTCTATCGATGTCAGACACTGAAGGGACGTAGGATGTTCGACAGTATAGAGGCATAACAACCCTTGGCTTTGCAGCAGCCTGACGTATGGTGGTCTCAAGGATTCTATGTGAGAGATATTCAATCCTAGATCTGATACGCGGACTGTCGCTCATATTCCCTGACTGCGTACTGCATGCTAGAGCCTCATTGCCCTGCTGCACCACTGGGCAACCTGTGGCCTCCTTAATCGGTATATCCATGTCCTTGGTCGCCAGAAGTCTTCCAAGAAGGTGAAAATAAGGTCTGATACGCACATCCGGAGAAGGAGTAATCCAGTCGAAACAGATAGTCCCGAGCTCATTAGCTTCCAAAACGAAGCTTTTCAGCCCCGGATAATCGAGCACATTATAAGTTAACTCCTTTGCGTCAACATTTGTGGACAACCACTTTGGCAGGAACTTGGACTCAGAGATATTCAATCCAAGCTCCGATATGTGTGACTCGATGTGGTTTGTGATATAATACATGTATGCATTGTATTTCCCTGACATCAAACACATGCATTGTGATGTTGTGCATAACGATGTTGTATTAACAGAAAGAGGATAACATCATGAGCAAGAAGAACATGTATACAAATATGGCCTGTCTGACTATGCGAAAAGAAAAAGAAAGTCTTCTTGAGCAGGGGGGAATGGGCTCCTTTTATGTTTCTCAGCAGGCGGTGAGCGAGTCCGACTCTGGAGAATGAATCCTACAGAAAATGTGCAAAAAATTGGAGCTCTACCAATTGTGTGTCATAAAAATTTGGAGGTGTAGTGTCTTTTAGGACCAGGGGTTAGATATGACGTGATTTACTGAATATCCAACAAAGACTCAAACAAAATCAGTATCACACTTATGGATTACCGCCACCTGTGAAGGGCTTCTAAGCACGCCCCGGGCACTAGAGTGTTCACCGATGAGAGATCTCTTTGTGGCAGGAGAAAACATTGGAGGGTGAGACACTAAAAGCAACTGCTAAGGACGCCCGGGGCGCTGAAACAATCAGCGGTGTAGATCAAAAGGATATGTCGGAGGCTGGAACGGTCTGTTAAGCTGAATGTTTTTCGAATTGCACACAGAAGGGATGAATGCTGTTGTCCTCCAATTCGGTTTTGCGGCGCAGATCCCGTAACCCAATCTCGCCGCGACATGTGGGTTCATGTAGTGACCCACTATCTGGCTGGTTATCTGGTTTGCGACTTGTTCGGGGTATCTTTACCCATATGCTATGCAGCCTCTGCTAAATGTAATTATCACCCGTGTTACAGAAATAAGCAATACAAAACTTTGATCGTGTATACATTAGTCTAGTACAATACTATACGTAAATCAAGGTTGCCTCGAAGTCCTTCTTGGCATGGGGTTGAGAAACAGTCAAAAGTGAATGACCCCGACACCGGTTTTGCCTCCAAGTGTATAGCTGTTTGTGACTACTCATTGGGTATTTACCGTAATCTCCACATAAAATGGGTTGGAAAATGTCTATATTTAATCATGTCTGTGTTAGATGCTTCCTCTATTATGCAGTCAGCAGTCTTAGGGCTATCAGGTTAGTTGAGGTTTTCGGTATTCGAAAAAAAGACACAGTCCCAAGTTGCGAAAAGTATACTTGCTACCTAGTAGCTGGTCATTTGCGCTTTTCCTATTCTCTTCTTACGCTTACTCCATTGTAGATGGTGGCTGGTGGAACATGGCAATGTTTATTAAACATGATTCGGTAGTAAATCTTCTGAAATTGAGAGCAATAGTATCAATTCAATGAATAGCTTTGTGTAACTAGAAGACAAATGTTTTCTTTTTTTTTTGTATTTGCAAGCCCACAGATTACCATCTTGTTACTGTAGTGTAATAATATGACATATTCCCACAGTGCTTGCAGGAGTTCTTTGAATGGACCTTTTTGCATGATGCGTTCAACACCCAGTTCGTCTTGACAAGAATACATGTATCCTTCATTCGACATCAGTAATGATACTGAAGATGCCGCATCGAGCTGGTTGATCCTCAGCTTGCAATACAGCATAGTATACCCAATCATGGCTTTACCAATGAACCATTTGCTTCATACTCGGCGAGTGTCCGCGGCTCGGACCATGAATAGGGACCACCAAATAACTCAACGGCTAGTAGTATCGTTAGCCTAGTTTGATTGTACCGTCGATGGAATCTCAACTTGGTGGTACTGACACCAAGCCGTAGAAACCGTTGCGAGTCTGTATTGTACTTCAATTCATGTGCTACTCATGAGGTGTTTGTTGCCTTGGGACTTCCCAATTTATGCGGCTAAGAGACCATTATTAATAGGGGTCAGATCCGACACATGTTCACAGGATACCGGAATCAGCTGCAACAGAGCAATTGGTAGCATGTCAATCAGCACGCTTCAACAGCCTGGTGTGTATTGTAGGAACATAAGGAGGGTAAGAAGTGCCCTCTCGAAAGAAAGCACCGCTCTTCCCTCATACGTACGGTCACCGGATGCACATCGGCCGACTGATATTATGGCTTGAAACATGAGAGGATGGTTTTCAAACAGCTGAAGGAAAGATAGATAAAGCAAACAATAATGGGGTTTTTCCAAACGATAATTGCTTATAGTTATTTAGAAATTAGAGAAATACTTGCGGAACTTCGAGGTCAGAAATCGAATGATATCTTCTTGTTAGGGTTCCCGCACCTTTCATCCCAGAAGATGTGGCGTACGGACGACGATATTGATATACCCTCGAGTGATCTGTACGCCCACGAGACACCATGTAGACCAGAATATCATAGGCTTGGATGGAGACATTCCACCAACAGACTTGATTCGTTCTGTGGGTTGGCAGGTGGGTGTGGTGGTCGGTTTGTCACGGTGGCTATGATGGTGGTGAGGATCGTCTGGTGGACGATCGAGGTCACGGCGGTTAAAGCAGTGGTGGTGACTGTGGTATAAGTCACTTTGAGGGAAGAAAAAAAAGGACAGAAATCCATCATCTTCTACTTCTAACCAGAAAATTTCTAATTCCCAAACCCTACCGACCTCATCAGCCAACCATCTCAATCAGGAGGAAAAAGGGGCGGGAAGAAAAGGATACATACGTCCCAACGGCTTCCCCCTCTTCGAAATACTCTTTGCCTGATCCTGCTTAATCCTCGCCAACCTCGCTTCTTCCCGTGCTTCCTCTTCTAACCGTTTCACATGTTCGCGTGCCTCACGGACAGCCTGTCGGGCGGCGACGAGGGCGCGATCAGCTTCTTTTTCGGCTGTTTCGGCGAGGACGACTTGTTCGCGGGCGTGGGTTATGCTTGGGTCTTCTCGGTGATCACGGTTGCGGTGGAGGAGACTGGTAGAGTGTTTGATGTTGTTGGGGCTGCTGGTGGTAGAGGTCGAGGATCGTGGGGATGGGGATGTAGTATGTCTGGACCCGAAAAGGCCGGTGCGACGGGATTCAGTTGCTGGCGGGATAGGGGAGGTATCGCGGCGAGAGTGACGAGATGTCGAAGAAGATGAGGCGGTTGCTTTGTCGTGATGGAAGAGCGGCATTTTGACTTGCGGTTATAGACAGAAAGATGAGGATGATAAATCTCCTATTTAGGAAAGTCTTGGCAAAGGCCGATGTCTTGACTTGGTTCTCAGTTGTTCCTGTACCGAGAAAGAATAATTTCTGGAGTGGATGGAGAATCGGAGATTTTAGGACTTAATATACACGTATCTTCAGAATCTCCCCAGAGTCATATCAGACTATAAGCTCGAGATACTCGGTATGATCGTGAAAGGCATGACGTCGGAGCACAGACCTGACGTCAAAACTGACGATCAACGGCAGCCACATGTATCTGTAAGACTATCTAGATGATTTAGATACTAGTTAACTAAGGTGATAAATATAATTATATATAAACACTTTGTAGATTGCTGTGTCTGATGTTATGGATTTATTCGGTACAAGACTCTTTCTCCACCATACCGTAACCCTAAGTACCCGAACAACCTTGGGAGACAATGCACCTCGCTACAGAAACACCAAAACGTTGATGTTCGAACAATTGACATAAGCAGTGTCATGTCACATGCGCCATATCTATTTAGGTAATCGTACACATTTATACTTATATAGAATACGTAAGTCTCTCAAACGAAGCGAGCAAAAAACAGCTTGTCTACAGAGAAAAAAAACCATATCCTCTTAAAGCCTATGTAACATCGAAATGAGGCAGTGCTGATCCTTGCGTCATAATCATAGCCCATACACACTGTGCAGCCTTCATCAAGCCCTAACTCGACTAATCGGATGTAGTAATATAATAATATAAAAACAATCGATTGACCTATTAATATCCCCCAGCTTCCAACACTTATTCTGTATGTATGTATATATGTATGTTCATGAGAAGAGACTTGCTTTCATCAAAAGGACGAGAACAAAAAAAAAATGAAAAAAACAAAAGCAAATGCCCGCACCTGATGCATCATGACTTCAACAACAACAATAAACAATGCGGAATCGTATCATACAAGCCACGTTTTTTTTGGTCCCAAACAAACAGTCATCACATCGAAAAAACCAATTAAAACAATAGAACAGAATTAGGCGGAGGTAAGTCCACCAACAGCCTTATCTTCAGGCTCTTCAGCCGCAGCTCGATGAATATGCTCGGGCGCAACCCAGCTGGAACTCTTCCATGGCTTGACATGCTGGATATACATGGTATCGACTTCCTCAAGGGTACGACCCTGAGTTTCGCACACGAAGAAGTATACAACCAATGCAGCGGCAAAGCAGCAGCAGGCAAAGATGTAGCCGTACTGGAAGTCAATGGCACCCGAGATGAAAGGGGTGAAGAAGGAGATCAAGAAGTTCCAGGTCCAGTTGGATGCAGTTGCGATTCCAATGCAAGTAGCGCGGTAACGGGCAGGGTAGAGTTCACCGCAGATTGCCCAGACGATGGGTCCCCAGGTGGTTGCGAAGCCGACAATGAAGAAGCAGGTAAACACAATCAAGGTGGTGCCGGCCTTCGGGGTGTTGGGAGGGTTGGCGCGGTCGAGAGAGTAGTGACCAACAGTAGCGAAGATCATGAAGCAGACGAACATCCAGAGGGCACCGCCGATAAGGGACTTGCGACGACCGTAATGCTCGACAATGTAGAGACCAATAATGGTAACGCCAAAGTTGACGCCAGTGAGAATCATCTGAGTAACGTAGCTGTTGTTCAAACCAGTCGAGGTGAAAATGGTGTTTCCGTAGTAAAAGATAAAGTTGGCACCGGTGAGCTGCTGCAGGGATTGCAGGACAACGCCGAGCATCGTACGGTAGAGCATGCGGGGACCAGTGAAAATCTCAAAAATTCCAGCTTTGCCAGCAGCGTGTTCTTCATCAAGCTTTTCCTTCATGTCTTGGATTTCTTCAGCGACCAGGCGGTGGTTGTCGGGGACACCGTAGAGTTTGATCATGGTGTGTTTGGCTTCTTCGATACGGCCCATGCGGTAGGCATAACGAGGAGATTCGGGCAAGAAAAGGATACCGATACCGAGAATTAAGGGCCAGGCGAAACCGATGCCCATGGTGATACGCCATGCAGCAGTGGAGTGGATGCTCTCAGTGCCGTAGTTGATGCAGGCGGCGATGAAGATACCGAAAGCCACGAACAATTGGAAGGCACTATTTTCTGATCAGCAAATGCAACTTATGACCAGATGGACAAAAAGGGGAGAGGGGAAAAGAGAGAAAAAAAAAAAAAAACATACCTGACCATGGCACCACGGACATGGCGAGGGGCAGATTCAGACTGGTACATGGGCACAAGACTGGAAAGAGCACCCACACCCAGACCGGCGACCAGACGACCAACAGCGACTTGATACCACTTGTTGGTGGTAGCAATCTGCACAATCATACCGACAATGTGGATAATACACCAGAAAGTGATCGAGGGTTTTCTTCCGAAGCGATCTGCAAGGGGACTGGCGGCGAGGGCACCAATCATGGTTCCGATGGACATGAGACCGACAATCAGGCCGGACCGGACATTGCTGAAGTAGTAGCCGTTATCGTTGTGCTGAGCAAAGCGTACTTGGAAGTCGTGCATGGTTTCGAAACCAGAGATTTGCCCTGTCTCTCCATTAGCCAAGACCCTCAAGAGTCCCAGAGAGCACTAGAAAAGGACAAACCGGTAGAGTAACCGAAAATGAAGCCACCCATGGAAGCAATGATACCCAGGATGAATGACCGCCAGGTCAAGTAGGGCACTTTGCTGTCATCATAGTGGGCGTTCTTCTCGGCCAGAGAAGCATTGCCAGAAGTCGTTGCCGAGGGCATGGCATTCTCCGAATGCTCGGCCTGTTCGGCCTTGGGTTTGAGTTTGTTTAAGAATTGAGAGACAGTCATTGTCTACAATTGGATTGAATGTATTCGTATGAGGGTGAGTTGAACGATGAGTGAGGAAGAAAAAGTATCGACGGCAGCAAGAAACACCACGACCTTTATACTGAAAAATCCACACTAGAAAAAATGGAGAATGATCACGCGGGACATGGTCAGAACAAAACGGGGGCCCGGATGTGGGATATGAAATATGGAGGGAGGATCGAATGAGATGGCTTCCCAGTTCGGGGGGTGGCCTTTCTTTCGTCCTTGCCAACTTGATCTTTCCCTTCTTGGTGGTGGACCCTCGCCACTTTTTTTTTACTTCCTGACCTTCTCTGTGGTTTCTGTTGTTTCTCTCTAGTAGAATCTCTAGTAGAATCTCTAGTAGAATCTCTACGTAGTCTGTAGCATCATACGAGTGCATAAACCGTCACGTCATGGATTGTCTGACAACAGTGCCGATGCCGAGTCCAATCTTTGTTTATACTGGTTATACTGGTTATACTGATCATACTGGTCATACTGATCGCCAGAACAGCGACATGAAGACAGTCTCGGTATGCCGGGTTCTACATTCCATACACTACAATGTACCGTACTCGATCTTCTTGGAGAAGCCGAAGAACAGACGAAAAAGATGCAAGCATTCGGATCAGCGTGCCAGGAACCATTCCGCATGGGGGAATTAGCGGGTCCGGATAGATAGCCGGACGCCAGCTCTGTGATTGGCCAGATGCTGGATTTCATCATTCACGCACTATGTAGGAGTCCTTGCTCTAGGTATCTACAAGTCATGGTGAGCCTACATTCCTTTTCCACCTCCAGAATACATGGCTGCGAGAATACATAACTGTAGCGACGCCGTGAAATCAAACTATCGTCCATGCTCAGCGTTGCAAAAACAGACTTTGGTGGCTGCAGTGAGATTTCAAGCCCTGAATATGTGGGTCTGCCCTAAGCCATGATCCACCGATCCCACCGGTGAAGACTCTGCTTACTCTGCTCGGGCCTAGACAGGACGGGCTGCACAGTGGCCTGACTGTGACACGTCTGCTTACACCTGCTTACACCCCGTGGGTATTTATCGGATTTACCACGTCGACCTGCACGACAGCATCTCATGTCGTAGTTAGACTGCTCCGTACTGTATACGACGTATACTGAAAATATTAATGAACAATCCAATCCATGCAGTGGTCCTCTGCAATGCGGGTAAAAACGGATGACGAGCTGGTGAAACATAAATGTGGAAGCTTGACTCTTTCTAGAAAAGTCGTGATCCATTCTCGGCCCAGACTATCGCCGTATACAGCAGTCGGTCAAGATCTCCCGGCGGACTCGAGTCTTGACTCTTGACTCTTGACGCAGTCAACAGGTGACTATGATCAATTGATATACGATTGTCTGTCTACATCAAAACAAGAAAAAAACATCACAAGATTCTACGCGCCTACGCCACGTTGACAGTACCTAGATACTTGTTGTATCCAGACTCCTATAATTAATTGCAGCACCGTTGTAGCAATGAAGGAGACATCACACAACACAACCACAGCGTGAAGAGTTTTCCCGACTCGGCATCCCATCGGCATTGGTTGGTTGGTTGGTTGGTGCACGGCAAGTGGGGATCGGGACAGAAGAGAAATCGGGATGTCTTTTCGGTGTGCCGGTTTGGATCGGCTCACTTTCTTCTTCTGTAAACGGGTTGAAGTGCCGAGCCTGGTAGCTAGCGAAGTGAGGCGAGCCGAACTAGTTAACTAGTTATGTTATGGAAGTCGTAACCAATGAGGCTCTCATATAACCAATCAGTGCGTGTTTCGTCTACTATAGTATTTATACGCAAGGGCCACTCCTACGTATGTACATAGTACGGAGTATCTTGGGGATTCCTTGCCCGCTGTTAACTGCCTTATTCATAAATTCATGACTGTGTGATCTGGAGACTGGAGAAGCCTGCTCGCCCCTTAATTGACTTGTTAATGGCCGACTAAATCATGAGCTAACTCGCATGATAGCTTCTTGACTAGTTTGGCTCGACTCGCACGTGAGTTGGGAGATTTGTAAGCAGACGTCGACAGTACTCTCCGCAGAGAAAAGGAGGGGAAAAAAAAATTGTGAGACTGAGAAAATGAGAAAACACCTAGCAAATCTATGTAGATAGTGTACAGTGTGGCAGCGTGGCAGCGTGGCAGCGCCGGGACGCGGAATTGTTAAGGACACCACAGATTTTCACTAACCGCACCACAACTGATTAACTTAACTACCAATATTAGTCGTTATGTAATCTCATAAACAGCCTTGTATTCTGCCAATCCTTTCTGTACTCGCCGATTAACCGGAGAGCATCACACTACGCAATTAATCTTGTCCACAATCAAGTTAATATAGCAAGGAGAGCTACACCCCTTGCCCTTTACCAGAGTGCTCTAACAGCTTCACTAGGACAATGGGCCTTCCATGCGCCCACCGAATCGCACGGTTACTAAAGGAAAATCATCCTATTCCATTAACGGATATTCATCCTTTTTGGAGGCAGTCTATAGCACCAGACGACCAATCATATCGCTGGGATAAGCAGAAGAGCCAATAGCATTGTACGGAAGCCCCACCCTGGAGAATCCATGGCAACCAGAGGTAAACACAGAGAGTATACATATGCAAATATATATATATATATATTTTGAAGCTCAGTATGTCAACGTGGCACTTTCTGGCTATTCTGTATAGGATTACCCCCAAAAATGGCGGATTTGGCGGATTTGGCGGATTTGCTTCCAATAATCAGACTAACTGATATAAATGCACTTCTGGAGGACAGGTAGGTTCGTTTGCCGCAATTAATGATATTCCAGCAAATCGAGGGCATCCGGGGCCAGAATAACTTCACCAAAGACGTGTTTTCAACGTGCCTTTCATTAATATCCTCCTTACAACACCAGAAAAAGCTCAGGTGCAAATATTGCCAAAGGTTGGAATAAAGCCGAGCATTCTTCTCGTCAAAAATGGCATCTAAATGCCTGTAAAAGATTTCTGAAGAATCTCCCGGAAGCTGTTATACAACAGCGTAGGAAAAGCACAGGGGAATACAGCCAGCAAGCCCTTTACGATATGAGTGCAATTTCTCCAAGAAACGTCAAATCCCAGGAAGATCTCGACTTGCTCGTTGAATTCGCAGTTTTTAGCAGTGCTCGTCCTTGTTCTATGTTTGAAATTGATGATATGAGAGCATTGTTCACTGCTCTCAATCCGCAATTTGAAATACCTTCTTCCGAAAAGCTTACTACAGAAATCCTCCCACAATGCTATTCCCTTGTTCAGAACGCTGTCATGAAGCATCTTGCACAAAGTGAGTATCTAGACTGCTGATGAGAGTACAGATATTCGCAAACGCCGGATAATGAATTTATCAGTATCTGATTCCGAAAAGTCGTTATTACTTCCAACGATATAGGAAAACAGAGTGCAAATGCTGTTCATACTACGGAATGGGTTATAAACCAGGTAAGTCCTCAATAGAATTACATATTTTATTCTCTCGATTAAAGAACCCGTTGACGGCAACTTCGCACGGATTAACTCGATTACAACGGATACTTGCGCTACAATGCAGGCAGTGTGGGATCTGCTTCTTCAAAGTCAAAAGACGAGGGTTTGTTTTTTATGATTGGCTGCGATTCTCATGGATTGCAATTAATTATAAAAGATCTTCTTGCTATGCCACATATAAAGGATATATTTAAACAAGCACAATCGATTGTATCATATTTCAACTCAGCGCCATTACAACTAGCCATCCTCCAGAATATTCAAACCAAAGATGGTGACCAGGAAAGGGCTTTTATCGGTTCTATTTCTACACGCTGGGGAACTCAATATATTATGCTGGAAAGCCTCAAAAAGAACGAGAGAGCACTTGCCGAATATGTTCGAGAAAACATATGTGAATTTGCGATTTGAGATATTATTCGCTCTACGGATTTCTGAGATGGAATAACGCTTCTTCTTGATATCATAAACAAGTAAACGAAGCAATCAAAGCTTCTGAAGCAACAACATCCCATGCAGGTCTTGTTGTTGTTGTTGTTATTGGTGGTGGTGGTGGTGGGAGATGGATATCTATTGAACTTCATCTACGTCGATATATTGCAACTACATCTTTTGGCTCCGATATACAGCTTCTATTTGAGAAGAAATTTGCAGAACGGACTCGACAGGTTCAAGATGTTCATTGGGCAGCTTATTTTTTGAATCCTACAACGCGAAGTTATAATATGAACTGCCTAGAAATCGAGAAGGTTTATAGAGTTATTCAGTATTGCAAGAAAGATCCTAATCAAGCAATACTACACTTCTGTCAATTTCGGGCCGAGAGTGGTGTTTTTTACAAAGCAATGTGTTGGAGGTTCGAAAATGAACCCAAAAATTTCTGGATGTGCCAGGTAAGTTTGAAATTACATATCTAGTAGAATTTACTATACTAGCTATCTACTGCCCCTGTCACAAAAGAACTTGTAACACTCGCTCTACGCCTTTTTTCATACAACAGCCACATCGACATCCTCAGAACGTGCTTTCTCTGCTCAAAATGTTCAACTCAATGCTTTCCGAAACCGTATGACCGCGGAGCAATTGATTTATATCTATATGAATA